CTACAAAAAACCTGAAGGCACATCTGCACACAATTGGCTCATAAACCACCACATGGTCTAAGCCATGAAAGCAAGTGAGACTGGACTGCCCCTCCCTGTGTCTCTATGATATCGTCCGTTCACAAGCTTCATGGTTCCTTTGTTCCCTCAAGGCCATCAATCACATTTCCTTCAGTCTTGGGACCTGTGGGTGCTGGGGACAGGAGAGAGCACAGTGTAACCCTCCTTGGATGAATGCCTCCAGAAGTGGTTGTTTCGTGCCCTCCCCAGCAATGCCTTTTTCTGGCTGATAGTGACTGGGAGGGGGATTGATGACAAGCACAAAAATAGAACTGCACAGAAAGGAACACAGAGCTCCATGATGGCTCTCATAAAGCTGCCTGAAAAACATTCTATCCAGTAACCACTTCCACCCATGCCAATGGAATTAAAGTCTCTGCAGAAGGAAATAATTTTTTAAAACATAACTAATATGTTTCTTTTTTAACCTTACGAAAACACAGCAAAAAAAGTCAAGAAAAAGATAATGCAAATTTTCCCATTTTACAGATAAACGAACCCACTGAGGTGGAGATTTGCTTAATATTACTCATATAGTAAGTGGCAGAGCCAAGACTCAAGTCAATGACAGCTCCAAGGTGCATGTTCTTTCTTCGAACTTGTCAGCTGAGGAAGAGGTAGGTAGGATCTTGGGGAACAATAACGAGTTGGTGTGTGATGAGGCATTTGGCAACAGCCCTGTCCTGAAGGCCCAGAAGCCATCTCTACACCCTTTCCTGTGCTGAGGCTCTAATAGTCAACATAACGTTTCATTTCTAGACACTAGTAAGTTTTATTACCTCTGTGTTACATTTTATTAAATAATATTTGCTTTATAAATTTTATTTGGGATGATGTAATTTATTAAATTATTTGAGGATGAGCTTATGTAATCCTAAAGATCTGTACGTTTTTCATTTTTAGAAAGAATGAGCAGTCTGTTTAATTGTGTCTTCTCTCTCTCGGGCCATTTAAATTAATTTTAAAGAGATGCTTTAAAACATTCAAACACACGCATTCCACATTATTCTTACGGTTTTCCCACTGCAGAAAATTCTGATATCAGAGCCCATCAAGGTCCTGGACACTCCATTTCCTGCCAATGGAATGAGAGCCCTCCCTCATGAGGGAAAATTGTGTGTGCTTTACACAATCTTCCCCTTTGGGGCTACTAGGTTTTAATCTATTTACTTGCTTAAGAAACATGGAGCTGAGAGTGTGCCACTTACTGGGCTGTGTGGTGGGTGTTAGGGACACACTGGTCTCTGCTCTCAAAGAGCTCACAGACCAGTAGAGGAGGTCAGGATATAGCCAGGGACTGACAGTAGAAGACAGCAGATGGTTCACAGCACACACGCTGGAAAGCAACAGACTTGTTTGTGGATCTTGGTTTGGGGCTCCTGGCTCTGTGACCCTGGGCCAGATTACTTGATTTTGGTAAATCCATATTCTCATTTGTAGAAATAGGTAATAGTAAGACCTACCAGGTAGGTTTCTTGTGAGGATTAAACAAGCAAATACATATGACAAACTAAGTGTCATCTAGAACATGGTAAGAACTCAGTAAATATCAGTAACTATTAGTATGACATGCTATGGAAACACAGAGGGGCATTTGACTCATCCTTGACAGAGGAGGATGATTAGGAAATGTTTCCCAAAAAATGGAGCTGTAGAGCAAGGATAGGCAGCAGAGTGAGATGCGATTGTCAACCAGGGGGTCAGTTTTTGTCCTCCCAGGGAACATTTAGTAATGTCTGGAGACATTTTTGGTTGTCACGACTCAGGGGTGGGTGCTGTGTATCTCGTGGGTAGAGGCCAGGGATGCTGCCAACATCCTGCAGCGCACAGGACAGCCCCACAACTAAGGACCGTTCAGACAGAAACATCGATAATGCCGAGGCTGAGAAGCCCTGGTTTAGAGCATGAATTCTATAGTCAAAATGCCTGGATTTTAATTCTGGCTCTGTCACTTATCAGCTGTGTGACTGTAGGGGCATTACTGAATTTTCCTGTGCTTCACTTAGCTCATTTGTAAATGAAATAAGAAAATGAATTAAATAAGTTAATATTGACAAATTGAACAAAGTATTACAATATACTTAAATTCTAATATCTAATGAATCCTAAAGGATCTTTTTTCAGAAGTAATGGCTATTAAAACCTACTCTTTTGTGCTCTAGATAGCTTCTAGGAAGGTCACTCTTAGTTCCATGGAGTTCTTTGGACTATATGACTTTAGCCAAGTCTCAGCCTGGTTTACTATGGCTCGGTTAGTCCATGCAATTTTAAATGCATGCATAAGACATGCAACAGAAAAGCACGGCCCCCTCTGCGACGCTGCTGGTGACAGGACCAGACGGGCAGGGAAGAAGCCAAGCCAGGAAGGACTCACGCTCACATTCTCTTCCACAGCTTCTGCCTTTACTGTTTTATGGTTTCTCCTTTCTATTCAAGATATATCTCCAACACCCTCAAAGCAATTCTCTGTTATTTTCTCAAGCTATTATGATAAAGCTTTATAGCTTCTTACTGCTTAAGGGCATTTTAGAATAATCATCTATGCTTGAATGGTTTTTGAAGGACAGATGAGAAGTCAGATATTTCCCAGGAATCTATACTTCTCTAATAAAAAGGATATTCAGGGCCAGGCGCGGTGGATCACGCCTATAATCCCAGCACTTTGGAGCCAGAGGTGGGCGGATTACCTGAGGTCAAGAGTTCGAGACCAGCCTGGCCAACATGGTAAAACGCCATCTCTACTAAAATACAAAAATTGGCCGGGTGTGGTGGCAGGCGCCTGTAATCCCAGCTACTCAGAAAGCTGAGGCAGGAGAATCACTTGAACCCGGGAGGCAGGGGTTGCAGTGAGCCGAGATCGTACCACTGCACTCCAGGCTAGGCAACAGAACGAGACTCCATCTCAATAATAATAATAATAATAATAATAAGCCAGGCATGGTGGTGGGTGCCTGTAATTCCAGCTACTCTGGAGGCTGAGGCAGGAGAATCGCTTAAACCCAGGAGGCAGAGATTGCAGTGAGCTGAGATCACACCATTGCACTCCAGCCTGGGCAACAGGGCAAGACTCAGTCTCAAAAAGGAAAACAAAACAAAACAAAAAAAAAAACAAGGATATGCAAAATTGCTATATCTCACTATTGCGTCTTGAAAATTTCCAATGCAAGCTTTGAACTTCTTTATGGTTTATCTCTTAACCACCTGGGTCATCCATGTATTTATACAAACAGCTGCACTTGAGCCATTCACTGAAAAGAAAAGCTAAAATCACCAACCTCTATAACAAACGAGTTTAGAATGGAGAGTGCTCTAAGCAAGAGATATTTTTTCTCTATTTCTCCTCCACTCTCTTTTTCCACATTCCTTGTGATAATCAATCTGTTCTTCGGGCTGTTTGCTTTCAGAAATTTTGTTTGCACTCCTCTCTAAATGTTTCAAACTGAGAAAATAATCCAGGGAGGGCCTTGAAATTCAAATTCCCTCAGCAGCACTATCACCTCTCTCCGCAGAGATTCGTTGTTTGGGGGCTTCTTCTAAAGCATCCCACCATATTAGTCCTCATTTGTTTCTGTCCTTAGGCCAGAAAAACTCCGGGGTATCAACACCATCCTGAAGGGTCAACCAACTCAAGAATATATATTCAGCATTTTCAAAATGGGATGAAAGGAAGGGACCAGCTCCACAATACATCTGAGTTCTATATTTATTTTCTTTGAACAGCCAATCCAAGGAGGAATATCAAGGTCACCGACCAAAATACCCTCTCTCTTGCCCACAGCATTTTCCAAAATGTTGAGGTCAGTGAACCCACTGTCTATTAAAATGTTATGACAAGGGATAGGTTGCTCTTTTCTGTCCACTATTTTTATGAAATAAGTTGTGAAACTGGAATTGATTTGGGGCAAACTTATACAGTTTTGTGGTTCAGCTTCTTCACTCAGAGCTGATTTATAAAATAAGTTTAAAATATCTTATTATAAAACAGCATCCTGTGAAAATACATCCCATGATTCTATGAAATGGGATTGTTTGGATGAGATCAGAAGAAAGAGTATTTATTTTCAGGTCAAAATTCAGCCAAGACAATTAATTCCCTATTTTCTTTTTAAAGTAAACACTTGGGAGCTTTTAATAAGTAGCACTGGGTTAACTTGGTTTTCATCTGTAAAATGCTGCCCTTTCTGTTTTCATATCTTCTCTGTCTCTTTCTCCTCCTCCTTTATGAGGGCCATTAAAAGACCCACATTTCTCTTGCTTCTTTGCTTCCTATTTGGGAGGGATGCTGTCCCTGAGGTTAACTAATTTATTTATTATATTTTCATAAGGTTACTAATGTTGACTTTTAGTACAATTAAAGGGTTCCTATCAAAATTTGAAATCTACTATGACCCATAAAAAAGAGATTAATCATTATATACACAAAAAGGGTGGGGAAGAATCAAGAAAAGGTTTATCAGTGGCCCAAAGTCCTAGAGCAGAGGTCCTGGGCAAAATCTGGCATGAAGCCTGTGTTTATACAATCTTTGGGCTAAGAATGTTTTTACATTTTCAAAGAGTTGTGAAAAAAAAGAAAAAACAGACAAGAATATGCAATAGAGACAGTATGTGGTCTGCATAGCATATTATTTACTACTTGGCTCTAACAGAAAACGTTCGGTGACTGTTCCCCTATACTGTCCTTCCTTTCCTGGCTTGATATATCACTGATCAGATTCATCTTCAGCTTATCAAACTGAGCTTATATTTCCTATTTACTCTATCTTTTTGGTCAAAAACACATTAACATTATTCCTTTGATTTTTTTTTATAGCAACAGGCTTATTAAAAATTGTTTTGTTTTGTTTTGTTTGACATGGGGGTCTTGCTATGTTGTCCAGGCTGGGTTTCAATTCCTGGGCTCAAGTAATCCTCTCACCTCAGCCTCTCAAGTAACTGGGACTACAGGTGCAGGCCACCATATTTGGTGGTGAATTTGTTTATTTATTTATTGCAGTAGGTAATTTTCTGATGTCATTCATGCACTCATATTTATTGAGTTCCTACAATATGCCAAGCACTGAGACATTTCTTAAGGTAAAATAAAGTGGTTACCAATAGAGTTACCAAATCCAGCACCTTAAGATACATTTCAAACAGATAATAAACTCATTTAAGTGTCTTTTTAAAAAATCTCTCTTATAGTAAATATGTGCTCTTGTTATTTTATAACTCAACAGCTTTGTTTGGTTCCTTTTTGTCTCCAGGACAAAATACAAATTAGTCAGCCTGACTGGCTATTAGAGCATTCCACAACTGTCTTTTTAATTTCTCCTCTCACTACTTCTCCACCTGGACTTAATACAGGATGAACTGGGCTATTCATTATTATCCAGACATAAGTTGTCCTTTCCAAAATTCATTCTGTCAAACATGTCAACCTCTCATCCTGGAAACATTTCAGATATTTTTACTAAGAATAAAAAGAGTTGGTAGAAAAGCTGTTGGGAAGGCATAGCTGCCCCCTGAGGCAAACCATTCATATATACACCTTATCTAACATAGTGACAGTTTCATCCTCGCATATTAAACAACAGTCATCCTAGAACAGTGAACAAGGCTAATGTGCCAAGCCTGGTGCTATGAATGAAGCATAGTCCTTGTCCTCAGAAGACACCAAAGTTTAAAACCGAACATGGTAATTTAACTCTGGATCTCTCCATCCTCCTGTCCTCTTCATTCCCTCATTCACTCATCCATTCATTTAGTAAACTTTCTTAGGCATGCACAGTTCATCAGGCTCAGTCTCAGTTCCTCGGCATAAAAACCAACAATTACAGTACAAGTGCAATGACGGAAGAGTGCAAAGCACTCTGGGAGTGTGGAGGAGTGGCACATAATCAGGCAGAGCTGAGGGAGGAAGGGGCTTCCTGGAGGAAGGGACTCCTGAGTTTGGTTCCTAAAACTTTGAAGGAAATAGTCAGGCAAAGCATCACAAGGAAGCATCCAGACTAAATTTCTCTCCTAGGTTACTTCACCTATAGCTGCGAATATAATTGCTTTTCTGGAAGCACCACGCTTGCTCAGGAATGAGGGAAAATGTTATAGAAGGAATTAAGGTTATATTTCTTGTTTTTCTTTTCACTGGACTACATGGCTTAACAACAGAGAATAATGTATCTTGCCCTATTGTATTTTTAGTCTTTTGCTGTAAGTAGTAAGTCCAAGTAAAATACGTAGCAATGGGATTATGGGATTCCTAAATTCATCCCCAGGATATTGCTAAATTGAGAACTAGTCATTTCAAGAAAGAAGAAAACATTGCAACTGTAAATAGACAGATAAAATGCAAGCTAATAAATTTCTTTAAACTTTTCCTTTGTGCTATTAGCATCATATGATATATCTCATATAATTGGAGACAGGCTATAGCTAAAAGTGTGGACTTTAGAAAAAAGAAATTCCTAGGTTCAAACCCCAGCTCTGACAGCTTTTAGCTGTGTGAACTAGGCAAGTTATAATGGCTGAATAGTAGCCATCATATAAAAATACCAAATGTTCTTAATAATTTCTTTTTTTTTTTTTTGAGACACTTAGGTTGTTTCTCAATGGAGAGTATTAGTAATAAGACAATAATCAATATTATCATACTAAAATCTTTGTTCCCCTCTCTGACAGAATAAATTTTTTAAATGGAATTTCTAGGTTAGAATTTATATCTGTTAATAGTTTAATACCCCTAGGCCAGTTTCTTCATACATAAAATGAGATGGATGATGGTACCCACTTCACTGGATCATTGTAAGAACTAAATAAATTAATAAGAGGGAAACTGCTTAAACAAGTGTTTGAAGCAGACTTTCTGTCCACTTTAAATCAATGACAAATAGCTTCCTCCAGGGGGATTTTGCCAAGTTCCACAGCAAGTCATGTTTTTCAGGTCCTGGAATACTGCCAGTATGGAGGAACAGGAATGGAACGTAGTCGGAGGATCACATCCAGGTCACTTTCGGGATTCCACATGGCTCCTTGGTGAATTTATACTGTAGTTATACTTCTCTTTATAACAGACATTTGCACAACCTAAGAGCTAAAGGAGTAGGGAAAATATAGCATCAAATCCACTTACCCCACACCATGTCCCATTCAAATGCTCACAATCATCTTTGCCAGTTTCTTTACTTAGTCCTTATCAGATAGTACCCATGAGGTTTCTTCTATCTTATCGAGCCAGTGACTGTACTGAATAACTCACCTCTTTTCATGTGTGAGCATTACTTATGCCCCAATTTCATTTTTACCTTCCTCTAAGCATAGATTCTTTATCTTTCTAATTCTGATATTATAAGCCTTGAAATAATACATCTAATTTCTCTGGGAAATTATGAACAAATGAATAGGAGATATGAGAATCCTGAGATAAAGTTGGTCCTGCTTATTTTGGGGTATATTTTCTCACTGTTGTATCGGGGAAGATAATTCATCATTTGAGTGTGAACAATAGGGTCATACAGCTGTTACCTAAAATGCCACAGGATTTATCTAGCATCACTTGTAAAAACAGAAATCTATATGGCCAGCTCTGCAGTACGAAACACATCACACTGGATGTTCTACCCAATGACGGTAAGATCCCATAGGGGAAATTAAATGCCATGAAATGGCCTTAATCATGGGAGTTAAGAAAATTGTTTTTCACAAACTACATAGCAGAATCAAAACCATGGTATGAGGGAGAGAGAATAGCATCTAAAAGGCATAGGATGAGGTCAGAGTTCTGAATGCACTTTATGGGTGTCATGGTTAATTTTATGTGTCAACTTGACTGGGCTAAGGGATGCCCAGGTAGCTGCTGAAACATTATTTCTGGGTGTGTCTGTGAGAGTATCTCCAGAAGAGATTAGCATTTTGAATTGTTAGACTAAGTAAAGACACTTAGTCTCCAATCCAATGAGGGCTCAAATAGAACATAAGGCAGAGAAAGACCAATTTTCATCTTTCCAGTCTTTATGAACTGGAACATTCATCTCCTCCTGCCCTTGGACATTGAAGTTCCTGGTTCTCACGCCTTTGTGCCTTTGGATTCCAGGACTTACACCAGTCCCCCATCACACCCCCCACCCTGGTTCAATTACAACAGAATTGCCTTGTGACAAAGTCACTGGGGGCGGAGGAGTATAAAGTCAGTGTCTGTGTGTATGCCATCTTTGTCATATGTGTCTCTTACACAAAGAATTGAAGTGATTGTGGAACTATGCCCCTGAAATAACAAGAAAGATCACAGGATGCTACACAGGCAAGAGTAGCAAATTCAGGAATACTGTAAATACCAGGATTCTTCTATACATGTACAGATGGCCCTTGACTTACTTTTTTTTGATTTTATGATGTTACAGAAGTGAAACACATTCAGAAGAAACCATACTTCAAGTACCCATACAAACACTGGTTTTCATTTTCAGTACAGTATTCAACAAATTGCGTGAGATATTTGTTACCTTACTAAAAACAGTATTTGAGAGATGATTTTGCCCAACTAATCATTTATATCATAGGCTAGTATAAATGTTCTGAGCACATTTAAAGTAGGGTAGGTTAGGTGTATTAAATCCATTTTCCTCTGACGATATTTTCAACTTATGATGGGTTTATCAGGATGTAACCTCACTTTAAGTCAAAAAGAAGCTGTATAGCTTTATATCCTGCTTTTCTCTTCAAATATTTTATATAGGAATTCCCACATATTATTAAACATTCTTTGAATATGTGGTTTATAATGGCTGAATAGTAGCCATCATATAAAAATACCAAATGTTCGTAATCATTTCCTTTTATGAGACACTTAGACTGTTTCCTAGTGGAGAGTATTAATTTTAAGACTATGATAAATATTGTCATATCAAAATCATTTTGTGCATCTCTGACAGGACAAATTTTTAAAAAATGGAATTGCTAGGTTATAATGTGTACTATTTAAATTATTTAATTCTAACAACAAACTCTATTTCAAAAACTAGATACTAGAAAAAACACAACTGACTCTAGATAAGTCTAAAATGTATCTGGCAGAAGCAGACGTGTTAGACAGAAATAGATTAGCCAAAAAAGTTTACAATGCCATGGGGTAGCAGTTAATGTGATTTGCAGAGGAAAAGAAGAGTGTAGGCCATTCTGGTGAGTCGATTAATTGTAAACAGATTTTAAAAGCTTCTGCTGCTTTCAGGTCTATAACCTTATCAAGTCATTTAGGCTTTCTAAACCTCAATTTGCTCATTTTGAAAACTGGAGACATTTCCCATGTTCATGCACCAGAATACTTAATATTATAAGCTTGAATGTTCTCCCTAAATTGGTATGTAGATCTGCTGTCATCCCAATCACATGCCAGACCAGCATTTTTATAGAAAAAGAATAGAAAAAGGATCATAGAAAAGCTGATTTTAACATTTATATGAAAAGACAAAGGACCTAGAATAGTCAAAACAATTTTGAGAAAGAGCAATGTTGGAGAACTCACACTACCTCACCTCAAGACTTATTACAAAGCTTTGGTAATCAAGAGAGTGTAGTATTGACAAGAAGATAGACAAACAGGTCAATGAGCTAGAATTGAGAGGCCGGAAATAGATCCATAGTTATAAAGCAAATTGTTTATGATAAAGGAACCAAAGCAATTTAAAGCAAAGAAAATACCTTTTAACAAATGGTACCGAACAATTGGCTATCCATAAAAAAAATTTTTTTTAAACTTAGACTCCTATCTGCACTTACACTCTATTTCACACCACACACAAGAACTAATTTTAAATGGCGGAAAGATCTGTGGATAGGAGTTTGAGAACCTTGAAAGATAGTCTATAGGAATAAGCATCTGCCCTCAGGCATTAGACCCTCACTTACCCTTAAATGTATCAGGATAACTTAGCCTAGGCTAGGACCTGGCCTTCGGTCCTTCCACTCTATTTATTAAAACATTTAAAGAGAAACCTAAATTAAAAATCAAAAATAATAGTGCAAATTAAAACTACCTCAAAAGATCCAAAAATCTTTAAGATATACCATTTGAAACAAAAGTGTTAAAAGAGATAGAACAAGAATTTTATGTAAACATGATAAATATACTTAAAGAGATGTAACAAGCTATTAGTAATAATAAGAATAAAAAATCATTAAAAATGAAAATATATGAGGTATAATAACTGAAAAACTACACCAAAGATGGGATAAAGAAAGGAAGAAATAGCTAAAGAATAAATTTGTGAATTAGAAAATCAGACAAAGAGGCAATCTCTCAGCAATCAGAAGAATAAAGAGATAGAAGATATACAAGTAAGCATATTCCTCCCTGTTCCCATTATGTAGTATCAACCCTCTCCCCTCAAGAAAAGCAAGTTACTTACCCCAACATTACTATAACTCCCTTCTGATCCATTGGCACGAGGAGTCCAAGGTGGCCAGGTGGTAGACCCAGCTTCAAATTCAGTAGAATCCTCACTTTGCTGGTGGAGACATAGTCCTTACTGGGAACGATGTTCTCTAACCTAACAGAGCCTAAGGTTAGAAGATAGGAAGAACAAATTTCACAAATAGGTCACTGGGGATGATCATGTAGGGATCACTCCTATTTCCTTGGTTACCAGACCTGTGTTTTCTAGCCATTAAGGACAGAGCACCATATATCAGTCCTTATTTCAATGCATATACCCCCAAACTGAGGACCATGCTCTAACCTTCAGATTGTGTTCTCGGAGAGGGCCACTTAACTGAGCCTTTAAGTCCACTGCATCATTCAGCTAGCCAGCTGCTTCTGGGTGATGGGATATATGGTGGAACCAGTGAATCCTGTAATCATTGCTCTATGTCCTTTGCAGCAAAATTGGTCCCTTATCTGAGGAAATGTTGTGAGAACCCATATTGATAGATCAGGCATGCTGAAGTGTTGATTCATATTTGGTGTAGATGTAACCTCTGGTAAGGACAAATTGCTGCTGTTTTCCTCAACTGAGGGGTTAGCATCAGTCTCTGAGGCTGACATTCAGCACTGGCTAGATAAGCTCTTTGTGAACTGAATCCCATTCTGTTAGGTGTTTGCATACTTCTATTCCTGCCACCATTGAATGCCAACTTGCACTGGTACTGCAATAACCAGGAAGAAATGTTGGCTGACATCCACAGGTTTACTCATCTTGTCCACCTGATGGTTGAGATCCCCTTCTGCAAAAGAGGCTTGCTGAGCATCACCACAAGACAGACAGATCTGCATACTGATGCCCACCATCTATAGGGCCCACATATCTCTTTCCCCTGCTTCCTTGTCCTCACTCTTCCCATTCTGGTCCTTTCAGGCCCTAAACAAACCAGCCAAATTATTCACCACTACCTATTTCTACCTAAGGTCACTTTTCCTTCCATACAAAGTGGACAATCAAGTGTGCTGCTCAAAGTTCTGCCCAAAGCTCTATACAGAGATTTTACACAAGTGATAAAGAAGATTATGGGAGCTAGTCCAAAACCCCTCCCAAGACAGTCCTGTGACCACCATTGTTCCGCTCTAAACTAATACTATTTCTTCAAAGCATTCATTAGTAGTGGAATCTCCTAAAAGAAAAGAGCCCATAGCAGCTTAAGGGGAAGTGAAAACAGGGCGAACTGGGAAGGCAGAATGTTATTGAGCATTCAGACATTGAGAGAATAACTCCTCCCCCAAACAAAAATGAGACCTTCATAAAGCATCAATTTAGTGTTTGATTAAATACAAGTTTGTTCCGTTTGTAATGATTTCATGTGCATTTGTGTCATCTCTCTAAGCAGTGTTTCCATCCCTTTGGAGTCAGGAAGTATATCTTACGCCTCCCTGTATCCAGCTTTCTCCGTTCCCATCACAGGGCTAGGATCACAGCAGCTACTCACCTTAGTTTTAAATAGTGTGGAATTGACTGACCCTCACTTAGGCAGTGCAGGGCTCTCACTCTCAGTTTTGTCACGATTGTGCTGCCTTGACTATTGATGCCCATGCTTCCTCCTATAAACCACCCTTCCAGGTTTTCAAATCCCTACTCATGAACCTTTCTACCTTTTATTTCAATACTGAGTAGCCATCCTCAACCAAGGTCATTTTAATTCCAAGGTCTATGTCCACCACGGGGGTGCCCATCTCTGGATGGCAACTCCAGTCTTGTTTGCTTGTCTCTCTCACACCATTTCTGTTTACTGACTGTTGAAGGAAGAGGCTGCGAGAGCTCCCTATCCCCACATACCCTGATAACAGAAATGAGTTATTCCACTGGCTGGCAAAATACTAAATCTTCCCTTCATGGATCCAAAACTGGGCTTAGTTACTCGTCTACTGTGCCCTCCACTGTTCTGATTCCACCATTGAGGACCTCCTGGAGAAATCTAGAATCCCTGACTCTGATATGAAGTTCACAGACTACTTGTCAGTAACCCCCAGGGCATGGTTTCTATGGACCTAAGTTTGTGTCAGTCTGAAGATCAAGCTTGTCCCCAGAATGTCTCTCTCGTGTCCCCACTTTGGGTCTTACTGAGGTTAATGAGCAGTCTAGTTCTGCTATTTACTAGTTGAGTGATCTTCAGTGAGTTAATCTCTCTGGGATTTTCTTTCCTGAGCTGGCATAGGAAAAGACTCATTTGCATTTCACAGGGTTATAATAAGAACTAAGTGATATAAGGAGTATGTGTCACTCGGCACAGTGTCTGCTATTTGGTTAATTAATAGTTATTAATTAATTAATTCATAAGTATTGTTATTATAATGAATAAGCATTGTTATTATAATTCTAGTAACATTGTTATTTACTCCATTTCATACTATAATACCTTTACCACCCATACAGACAGACCATTTTTCTAGCTTTGCAATTGTCTCTCTGACACCCATCTCTTCTACTCTTCCTACTCCTACATACAGTTGCTTAGTGGAGTTGATTTGTTATCATATTTTTTTCAATGAAATTATACTACACACTCTGGCAAGTTTTGAAATGCCCCTCCATCTTTTTCCCTTGTCTTGCACACCATCCCCTTCACTATTCACTTTGTGATTAACAAAATATTGCAAACAAACTTAGAGCATATGACAATGATGTCACCTCTCTAAATGACCAGAAAGTATACATCCATTCACACTAACATGTCTATTTTTTCTGACTCACAGGGCTGTGTTTTAATGACAGGTTCATATCCCAAAATTGGGGTAACACCAAAAACACAACCTAATAAGCTATGCCACACAGTGCATTAGGAATAGGCTAATAGATGTTGCCAAGAAGAAACAAGAAGAGAAATGCTCTCTGCCTCTCGATATGCACTAAACAAAAAGCCAAGGTACTTTGCATTTTTCAGTAGAAAGGTCATAAGAATGGGTTAGCCCAGGTATGGTATGACAATGGTAGTTCCTGCCAAAGGAGATAGTCAAAGAAGCAATGTTAATTTCAATATCAATTACACATTGATATTAAATAAATGCAAGGTGCTAAACTACTGTGCCACCTCGCACCACTTGTGGTTCAGAAATTATCTTCATGGCTCTGGTCATGTCATGCCCCTCCTCAAGAACCTTCAACTGCCCCCCACTGCCCACAGGACTGACGCCAAATTCCTCAGTTTTCCTAGGCCCTCCACAAGCATGCCTGGGCCCTCTCACCAGGTGCACGTTCTTACAGTCTTCTCTGTTTCATCTGCTTCGTTGAAATCCCACCATCTTCCAAGGCTCTGCTTCAACACCAGACTCTCCATTCCCACCTTTGTGGTGGAATACCCATGTCTTCTTCAGTCAGAGCTAATTTCTCTGTCCCATGCATTTCTATAACACTTTTGTTTGTTCTTCTCTTGTAGAACTTACTCTATTTCTCCCTGATTTCAAATGTTTAGATATGCAGCTTTGGTTAAGCCACCAATTCTCACTGAGAATAGTGCATGTCCATGAGAAATGAACTCAGTAATGCTGTTGACTGTCTTCAAAATGGATTTCAAAAACTAGCAAGCACAATACGAGTGTAAAACAGAATCGTGACTCAATTTTTACCCTATGAATAAATGGACATTTTCAGTGATTCCACAGATGATCATTCTCAGTTACATCACTTGGTTTAAACAGGCCAATGAGGCCTTAAAATGGCCAGTTAACCCCGAATCGTATAATTCAAATCGATAAATTTATATCAAATGAATCACATTTCATTTTATGTTAAGCAAATCACAAATAAACCTGTTTTGTTTTTTTTAAAACAATAACAGGTTAAAATCCCAGCTACTCGGAAGGCTAAGGCAGGAAAATCACTTGAACCCAGGAGGCAGAGGTTGCCGTAAGCCAAGATCTCACCAGTGTACTTCAGCCTGGGCTAACAGAGGGAGACTCCATCTCAAAAATAAAATAACAGGTTAAATCAGCCTCTTATTTTAAAACAGCCCCATCACCATGACTATCACAGCTATCTCTGGCCAAAGAACCCCAACATGTAACATCCCAGCAAGAACAGATGAGTAGATCAGCATAAATCTTTTCACACTGAATGGATTTTCCTACAAAATAGGGTTCTCATTGGAAAGCAGAGAAGTATATAGGCCAGGAGATTGCCCAAGCAAGGTGTGGGAGGATGGAGTCCTTTGTGGAATCAGACATCAGGTGACAACACGTGTGGAGGAGTGAGGATGAAAGTGACTAGAAGAATAGCAAAGCTCTCATGGATGTTATACATTATATGCATTTACGAGATGAAAGGCTATTCAAAATTTTACAAAGGTCAAATCAGAGCACCTTCATAAGCCAGGTTCCTCTGTTTCCTATGACTTCGTACTTCCCTACAGTGATTTGCTGCTTAATGATGGGCAAAGAACAGGACTAGCTTTGAGCAAATTATGAGGGATGCCAGAATGGAGTTTGCTTCCCTTCCTTTTTCTGTTTTCACTTTCCTCTAGAGCTGTCCCCTCTATTTACTAACCTTTAAAAGACAATACCCACCTGCATTCTTCTAAGGGCTTTTCTCCCCAACCAATTATGCAAATTGGAGCAAATCAGACAACCTTAGTCATACATGTGTACATAAATAGCTAATAAATGTGCGTATGACATCACTCCTAGGAGAAAAGCCTTGAGGCTAAGAGATTAATTTCCAATTATGAAATTGCAACCATCCACGAATTGGGCAGAGAGAACCCTCCCATGACATTACCCCGCCCCTTCGCTGCCAAGAACGCCTTAAAGGCATAAAGCAGTTGCTGCCTGGTTGGCTTGTTCATGAAGATTCATACTTACCAAAGAATTCCTTGGTGCAACCTTAAGCTACAAAATTGTTGCGAAGAATACTTACATTTACATCTTAAATGCAAATACCTAGAGTGGAAACATGTATTTTTGATTTGGATGGAGGACAATATTTTTAGGTCCTCCCCTGCTGTTAGTAAATTTACAGAATTACAATACCCATAAGGAGCCAATAATTTTTTAAATAGTGACGTTAAACTGAATATGTTCAGGCACCTAAGGGGTGTTATGTGCTTTACAAAGAACTGAGAATGTGGTTTTAACAAAATGTTTTCACCCCGGACACCACAAACGCATGTGCAGTTTCGTATTTGGCTCCTGAGAATATGTCTTACAAAATAGGCCTCAAACCAAATGCCAAAAGACGACTGTCTCTCCTGCTATATTACTTCATCCTACACTGAGTTAGTTATTCAACAAATGACATTCAGTTATAGCCTAGAAAATATTTGTAGTAGAGACAGGGTTTCACCATGTTGGCCAGGCTGGTCTCGAACTCCTGACCTTGTGATCTGCAAAATATAAAACTTAGCCTAGTGTGGTGGCACCTGTCTGTAATCCTAGCTACTCGGGAAGCTGAGGCAGGAGAATTGCTTGACTCGAGAGGCGGAGGTTGCAGTGACCCAAGATCACACCACTGCACTCCAGCCTGGGTGGTGACAGAGCAAGACTCTATCTCAAAAAAAAAAAAAAAGAAAGAAAGAAAAGAAAAAGAAAATTAATAGTTTTGCCTTGTTTTGGTTTTGCTTCATCGTTTCCTGACTTCATTCATGAGGCAAAAGGAATGACAGCCAGCAGAGCAGGCCCCGTGGAGCTCCTGCACTTGCAAGCACTCACATCCTGCAGGAAGAACTGGTATGCACCTGTACACACAGGAAAAGGCCACTGAGAGTCAAACACCACTAGCACTAATTCGTGAACTTTGGTGAGGTGTGAGGTATTATCGCAGGGTAGGGTTTCTTATTGTTGCTGCTGTTTACTGAGGTATAATTTCCACACAGTAAAATTAAACATTTTTAGGCACACAGTTCTCTGAATTTTGACAAACTTAGTGATGTGAGTACAAAAGCAATCAAAATTCTACCACAAAAAAAAATTCTTTGTGCCCCTTTCTAGCCAATCCCCTCCCCTCACCCCCAGTCCTTGGCAACTGCTGATCTGGTTTCTATTTCCATTGTTTTTCCCTTTCTAGAATATTATATAAACGGAATCATACAGTGTATGACCATTTGTGTCTGGCTTCGTTCACCTAGAAAAATGCTTTTGAGATTCTCCATGTTGTTGCATGTATCAGTTCCGTATTCCTTCTTATTGCCAAACAGTATTGCATTTACAGACACACTACAATTTGTTTATTCACTAGTCGAGGGACATTGGTTTCTAGCTTTTCATGATTATGAATAAAGCTGCTGTAAAAACTTGTTGATAGGTTTTTCAGTGGACATCTGTCTTTGTTTCTCTTAGATAAATACCCAGGAGTGAGATTGCTGGGTTGTATGTTTTGTGTAAATTTAACTTTATAAGAAACTTCAAAACTGACTTCCATAGTGGAAGTCTATTCCCACCAGTAGTGTATGATAGTCCAGCAACGTATTATAGCTCTGAATCCTTGTCAGTATCAGATGTTGTCAGTTACCTTGATTTGAGCCATTTTATTAGTAATCCATGAACTTTCGATCTAGGCTGGGCCATAAAATTAAACTTTCTGCTAGCTATGTGTACTTGGTTGAATAAGCGTCCTTCCAAAATACACATTCACCTGGAACCTCAGAATGTGATCTTATTTGGAAGTAGGATCTTTGCATATGTAATTAAATTTAGATGAAGGCATACTGGGTTGAAGAGGGCCTTAATCCCAATGACCGGTGTCCTTATAAGTAGGCCACGTGACACAGGGACACACAGAAGACAGCATCCTGTGACAGTAGAGGCAGAGATTGGAGCTATGCTGCAGCAAGCCAAGGAATACCAGAATCCCCAGCAGCCATTAGGGCCAAGCAAGGATTCTTCCTCAGTCTCGGAGAGAGCGTGGCCCTGAATACATCTTGATTTCAGACTTCTGGCCTCCAGAGCTATGTAAGAATACATTTCTGTTTGTTTTAAGTCACCCAGTTTGTGATAATTTGTTAGGGCAGCCCTAGAACTAAAACCCTATGATACAATTTACAAATACAACAATACAAATAGGTTTATATTTGACTCATATGAAGCTTTCTGAGGATAAAAGCATAATAATTGTTTGTATAAAATTCATTCCAATTAGTTCAAGCATATTACTAGGAGCCTAATTTACTAATATGCATACAAATTCTTGGGCTAAGTTTTTGGCTATTCTATAATTCAACATTTCACTCATTGGACTGAACTTCTGCTAATGAGCCAAGATTAGTGAAGACCACTGTTTATCGTGAATTCAGAGCAGTGCAGAAGCACAATCCCAGTGGTTCCTATCTGTGTCCATTGAATATGTGAGACCCACATTTTGCAGAACGTTCTACAAAGAATTAGGAGATGAACTGTCTTTTAGTTTAGTCATTTGTGGTATAATGTACTGGAATGCACCTTTAAAGATTTTTAATTGTAAAATTATGTGTTTATCTTCCCTACCATGATGTCTAGTTCTGAAAAACAAGACTTCTGTGGTAGAGACAGTTTTGGTTGTTTCATAAAGAACAGATCACATTTCAGTTTTAGCACAAAGCTCTTCTAGCCCCTGATGAAGAAAATTATCCAGCTCTCAACCCCTATTAGACTTCCTTGGGCAGGCAGAGGGATCTCCCTCCCCAACCGACCCCAAAACCTTTGAAAGAAAGAAGTTGGTTCTTCTGTTACACTATTATTCAATTATAAACCTACTAATTCAATAACAGAGAATAAAAGAACAGTTACAGTCAATAGCATGTTGTGGTTTCTGCTACTAAAACTTTCTGAAAACCTATTGCAAATAGATACTGAGGCAATAGTAACACAGGAGGGCAGATGCAGATGTGGGAGCAGGAATCCCACATTTTTACATTCATTCCTCTATACTATGTAAACCAGACTTTCTCTCCATGAACAACATAAAGTAATAACAAGCCTACCAGGTGAACATTAGATGTCATTATATGGACTTCTGGGAGGAGTCTGGCACTCACTGAGCCTCTTATGAGCACTTTTCTGTGTTGTGCACTGTGGTTACCAGCTGTACCACACCTATTTCACAGGAATAGCTGGTGAATACAATCATGACTTCCATAAAATTTGCAGAGCAAAGCAGGCTGTCATCCAAACAGAGTCCAAAAATGTTCAGTGATCCGAACAAAAGTCCGGCTCATTTTCACCACTCCTGCTCTGATAAGCATTCATTGTCCTTTGAGTGTTTGGGAGAGCACAGAGTTGACCTATTTGGGGGGACAAGGACTTATAAGATTGGACCACTCTGTTCCAAGTTTGGGCAATTTCAAAGGATAGGGCTTTGGGGAATTGGAACAACTTGTTCAACTTCATTGTCTTTGGGTCTCACTAAACATAGAAACCAGCCTCCCTCTTAATCCCCATCCCACGTGTTGAAAACCATAAACTCAAGTTACCACGAATAAAAGGCCATGGAAGAGTGCCCAGATGCCCTTCGGGATGGGATGACCCAGTTAGGAGGTAGCAATGTTTGGGGTTGAGATTGTCCCTCTATTAGAAGCAGAGAAAAAGCTATGACCAAAATGTTTGCATGGTTTAATTAAATATCAACAGAAATCTCTATTCACTTTAAAGCTCCAGCGCACCAGACAAGGGATCCAGGCAGGAGCCAAAACCACCGTTGCAGATATGCTCCCAGTTTCACCAGCTAATTAGATGTTAAACTTACATTGTAACAATCAACCTGATATTATTGCCTACTGCAGATAGAACTGGAATTGTAATTAGGTCAGAATTCTAGCTGGGATTGTGTAGGTGGACAAATTATTTCAGGATATTTTGGTATTACTGCTATAATTTATGGTAAAGACAGTTGGGATCATACTGGGAAACTAAGTACCTGCCTATTCTACCTCAGGCCTAAAAATGCCATTGATTACCCCCCCCCAAAAACTGAGAAAATATCTACTACAGGACGGAAAAAGACAAAATAGGGGCACTAACACACCAGAAGCACTGACGGCTTTCTGAAAGAGTAATCAGGCCTGATGTTTGTAGTTTTAATGTTTATTTTGCAAACAAAGGTAGAAACAGAGTCTGGAGCTCAGATGCCACCACCAGAGAAGGTAGCTGTTCAGCCTCTCTCCTGTGCAAATTAACCTAATCCTGAACCTGACTTGGGTTAATTCGCACAATTTCAGGTACCATGCTAGGTATACCACAAATATACCTCAGGGACCTCAACTGCAAAAACCTGGACCACAAACGGTGGGGGTGCAGAGTTAACTAGGTTAATAAATTCTTTCTGAGGTAAAGCAGGTAACACCCACCAATAAAAAGAATGAAACTTCATTGTCCCATTGGCATCCTCCGGTGTGCAGGTGTTCTTCAGAGTAAAATCCATGGTGTGCCCCATCGCCGATTCCTGGCAAGACGGGAGGCAGGGGGCGGGGGGCGGCGGACAGAAAAAAACCTGAGATAAGAAATCAGAGAATACAAGTCTCTTTTAAACAAAAAACAGTGAATGTTAGAGTACACCCACCATTGGGGTAGCACGTAATAATCTCTCAGCATCACTGACTCCAGCACAGCTGGTCCCCTGGAAGAGGCAAGTTGCAGGAAGGTTTTGTGTGTGACCAAGCAATTGGCCACCCCACGCCTTCAGCCTCCCAGCTGAGTCCTGGCCCCCGCGGGTCCCCTCCCCCTCCATCCTCCAAACCCAGGCAGCGCCCGCCCCTGCCCCAGCTGATTGACAGGCCGTGCAGCTACTCCTGGGAGCCCGGCTTTCGTGCGCAACCCGGGCAGAGGGGACTATCTCTGCAGCAGCCAATAGGAGCCAGGAGGCAGGGCGCGGGGGAGCGGCGCGGTCAGGCGCTCAGCTCCAGAGTTGAGTGCAGGTGAGCTCTTGCGCGTTCCGGGGGCGCCGCTTCCTCGAGTTACCTTCCCGCCGTTAACCGCGGCGCGCCAGAGGTAATCTCCTCCAGGCCCTCCCTCCCATTGCCCCAAATTAATGCTGACTGAACGGATCGGTGCGAGGGTGAGTCCACGGGTGTGGGTGGCTTCCCTCCCGGGGACCCACACGGCTCCTCTGGGCCCCTAAAGCAACGCCTCCTCCTTGCCACTGCACATCTGAGAAGCCCAGGCCTCGGTGGGCGGGATGACTGGGAATTGGGAACATACCCTACGCCGCGACCCTTCTGGGTGGCTAGGATGGAATCCTGGTGGAGAAGATGGACCACCTGCCCTTGACTTCTATCCGAGCTACACAAACCTACTCCTTCTGCACTTTCCCTCTTCCCTTTAATTGGTGCCCCTTCCTTCTTGATCTCCAAGTCTTGTTTGTGGAGGAAGGGTTGGAGGGGAGAAAGAACTGGAAAGTACTCCAGGAAATCTGGAGCCAGATCCAGGGATTCCACTATTTTGTGCAGCATTTTGTGCACGAAAAAGAAAAAAAAAAATCTGATTTTCATTCCCCACCCCCACGTATTTATTTCTCTGTGTCATGGATGTGATGTTGAGTCTTCTTGCCAGACATTCCTAAGCTTTAGACAACACTTAATCTTTGCTTACTTTCGTTGGTCCCAAGAAAGCAATTTTGTCCTGCTTACACATTTGCCGAATTAATTTGCTAAGATAGATGAAAATCAGGTGTTCCATGTAGTTTATTTTCTCTGCTTTTAGCTTTAAATTACATTTGGTTGATACTAGCCTTCTTTGTTTTAAAAAGGTGGGAGAGAAAATTAGGGGGAGAAAGGACAGAGAGCAACTACCGTCCATAGCCAGATAGGTGAGTAAATATATTTGCAGGAACCTATTTGCTATTCCCTGCTGCAACTATTTTTAATGTTCCTTCCAGAATCAGAAAGAGTATTGCCATCTAAGAAATCGTTTTTAAATATAACATTTGAGCCATCATCTTGAGAGCAATACCTAAAACAATTTCAGTTTATGAAATGTCTGGGTACGGTGAAAGCACAGTTTAAAACCAGCAAAACAGAATTTATTGCCCTCAGCCAATACCCACAATGTACATATACCTTGTACTCCTGAAAGCAAAGCAAGCATGCCAAGTAGTTTTTATTTACCTGCAGCTATAATACAGCAAGGCGAAACAGGATATATTTTTGAAGTTTAAAAATGTCTTCAGGCCGGCTGCCGTGGCTCATGCTTGTAATCACAGCGCTTTGGGAGGCCGAGGTGGGTGAATCACGTGAGGTCAGGAGTTTGAGACCAGGCTGGCCAACATGGCGAAACCCTTTCTACTAAAAATACAAAAATTAGCCAGGTGTGGTGGCGGGCGCCCGTAGTCCCAGCTATTCGGGAGGCCGAGTCAGGAGAGTTGCTTGAACCCGGGAGGCGGAAGTTGCAGTAAGCTGAGATCGTGCCACTGCACTCCAGCTTGGGCAACAGAGTGAGACTCCCTCTCAAACAAACAAACAAAAGTCTTCAGCTTAGGAAGATATCAAAAGCCAGTTTCAAGAGATTTATTTGTACAAGCATGGTTTGATCTAACTTTTGCTGGATTTATAAATACCTTCATGCAGGAATGGACAGAAAAAGGAGAGAACAAAAGATCCTTGCTGGATGAAAACTGACAAAATGTATATATCTATTGTTTATCCATACAGCATCTTACTAGCTTTCTCTAATAGAATGAAAGTATTTTAGAAATATACACAGATTAGGGGAAAAGTCCAACAACCTTGATTCAGAGATTTAAACCAGGGAAGTGCTTTTACTACACATATTAATGATGAGATTAAATTTTGACAAATTTTAACATTAGGAAAGTCAGCAACAAATTTCAGAATTGTATTTCTGTTAATATTTAGTTTACAATCTAATTATTTAGTTTAGAGAAGGCTATGATTTGATTATTAATAAATGAATGCAGATTACTTTTCAATAAATATATCTGGATGTCACAAATGTCATTTCATTTCAAGAAACCAAATTCATCTATATTCCTCTCTCTTTAGTAATACTTCTTTCATCTGTGATGAACCAAACATAGGGGTTGAAAATAGAAGTGTGCATATACATATATATACACAATATATATATGCACCATTATTTGATTTGCTAATGATACTTCATGGTTGCTAGGTTGCCATAGTTGTTCTAGCCATAATGTTAAGTGTGTTCGCAGGTATTTGACTATAAAAAAGTTTCTGACCAGAAGTCAGAAATCTAGATCAAACTGAAAATGTTTCTAAAAAGTTTTATGTAAATGATGTCGTAGTTTAAAATGCTGTTGAAGAGCTCACTTAAGTAATTCTTTTGAGGGATATGTAGATAAATTATCAGAAGGGAAAAAGTTGTTTAAATGCAATTAAACTTACTAGCTTTATTATTCATTTAGCCCCAGGTCTCTTGTCTAATATGGAGTTCTGTGACATAATTCTTCCAGGCTGTGATTTATGATATAACTAGGATTGCTAAACACTGTTACTCTGAGTTTGGGGTAAAGTATACAAAACAAAATTATTACCATTAATTTCTATGTGTTTATTCTACAGATTATTTTACGCTGAACTGATCAAGTACTTTGAAAATGACTTCGAAATTTCTCTTGGTGTCCTTCATACTTGCTGCACTGAGTCTTTTAACCACCTTTTCTCACCAACCAGACCAGCAAAATGTTCTACTAGTTTCTTTTGATGGATTCCGTTGGGATTACTTATATAAAGTTCCAACGCCCCATTTTCATTATGTTATGAAATATGGTGTTCACGTGAAGCAAGTTACTAATGTTTTTATTACAAAAACCTACCCTAACCATTATACTTTGGTAACTGGCCTCTTTGCAGAGAATCATGGGATTGTTGCAAATGATATGTTTGATCCTATTCGGAACAAATCTTTCTCTTTGGATCACATGAATATTTATGATTCCAAGTTTTGGGAAGAAGCGACACCAATATGGATCACAAATCAGAGGGCAGGACATACTAGTGGTGCAGCCATGTGGCCCGGAACAGATGTAGAAATACATAAGTGCTTTCCTACTCATTACATGCCTTACAATGAGTCAGTTTCATTTGAAGATAGAGTTGCCAAAATTATCGAATGGTTTACATCAGAAGAGCCCATAAATCTTGGTCTTCTCTATTGGGAAGACCCTGATGACATGGGCCACCATTTGGGACCTGACAGTCCGCTCATGGGGCCTGTCATTTCAGATATTGACAACAAGTTAGGATATCTCATACAAATGCTAAAAAAGGCAAAGTTGTGGGACACTCTGAACCTAATCATCACAAGTGATCACGGAATGACGCAGTGCTCTGAGGAAAGGTTAATAGAACTTGACCAGTACCTGGATAAAGACCACTATACCCTGATTGATCAATCACCAGTAGCAGCCATCTTGCCAGAAGAAGGTAAGGCTGACTGAATGGTGAGCTGAGGCTAGATGTGCATTTGCCCAGTGTGATCAAATGAATAGGGGATTTCTGTTGCTGCGCCTTTAAAGTAGACTTGCCTGTGTCATGGTAATATTCTGGGATTTAATCCTCAAGACTCTGAAAAGACAAAATCTCTTTTCTCAAAGCCTAATTTTTTTTCCTTTTTCCTAGAATACGGAAATTGATGCACTCTATATATGTATGGCAGTAGGTTTTAACTATTTTTGAATCGTAGAATATGATGAAAGCTATAGCCTCCCTTCTCAGAAAAATTGAGATGGAGAGATACATACAAAACTTGAATACATGTACAGTTATTTCATAGAAGCCCCAAAGCCTTTTATAGACTCCTAATTTGGACCTGCTTAACAAGGAAGCTGTGGAGGATAAGAAGGAGGAAGAGCTTTGGTCAATCTGAGGTTTATTTTCCTTATAAGTGTGGAAAGTGATAACAATATCTTAAACTTTTTACAAACCTCTCCTGGAATCCTCATACCAAACCTGTCACCTCAGCATTGTCTCCATTTTAAAGACAAGTAAATGACAGGTAAATGACCTCAAAAGGTTTAATATCCCAAGGTCACAAAATAAGTGACAACATGACTCAGGCATGCTCTTTGACATATTTTATCACCTTGCAGTGTTGGTCTTAGGCATCAAATGAGAGAGCAGATTTTGAAAAGCTATAATATCTCACAAATGAGAATTCCATCCCTCAGAGGGGAATTAGGAGAATCATATGAAACAGCGAATGTTAAACTATGCGTGTGTTTTACACACACAGTTTTCAGCAAACAGCCCTTTTTTTGTTGTTTAAGAAAATTAGCTAGGAGTGGTTGATCACGCCTATAATCTCAGCACTTTGGGAGGCCGAGGCAGTAGGGTCACTTGAGGCCAGGAGTTCGAGGCCAGCCTGGGCAACATAGCAAGACCCTGTTGCTAAAAAAAAAAAAAAAAAATAGCCTGGCGTGGTGGCACATGCCTGCATCCCAGGCTGAGGTGGAAGGATTGCTTGAGCCCAGGAGGTCCAGGTTACAGTGAGCTATGATCGTATCACTGCACTCCAGCTTGGGCGACATGGAGACCCAGTCGAATGAAAAAAAGATAGTGGGGGGAGAAGAGAGAGAGAGGGAGGGAAGAGAAGGGGACGAAAGAGAGAGAAAAGGAGAGAGGGAGGGAGGGAGGAAGGGAAGGGGAAGGGGGGAAAATTATGTTAACCCTTCAATTTCCTTTATAAAATTGGAATGTCCTCTTGTGGTAGTGTGGAAGGTAAGGATGAAACCTCAGGAATGGATTTGAAAGGCAGGAGAAGGATGAAAGACAGTGCCCAGGTAACTGCATTTGTAGTTATAGGGAGTACTTTGGCAACACCTCCAGTGTTTTTGGATGTTTCCATTTTACAAACTGCTTTCCACCTCCAGTCTCTTTTCCCAGCCCTCACTCACCACTCACCATGTTTTCTTGTCTGGAGATTCTTTGTGTCTGCACTTACAACTACCAGAACCTAGCTATTTTTGTTTGGGTATTGCAGTACCCTAGATATTTTACATAGTGTCACTAATTAATATATGTGTATATTGAAGTCTTTAGAGGTTCCTGGTTCTATGAAATGCCCTTCCTTAATTCTATAAGGTGAACTTAGAAGATTATTTCTTAGTTTCCCCTCCCAAAATTGTTTTCGCCAAGGAGGAAAAGAATTTTTTCTTATGTTCAGCTCTGTGGCTTTTCACCTCTGTAGCAAGTCTGTTGCCCATGGTTGGTTGGTTGATTGTAGCTATGAGTATTTTGTTCTGAGTGCCTCTCCTCCCTTCTCTTTAGGTAAATTTGATGAAGTCTATGAAGCACTAACTCATGCTCATCCTAACCTTACTGTTTACAAAAAAGAAGAGATTCCAGAAAGGTGGCATTACAAATACAACAATCGAATTCAACCAATCATAGCAGTGGCTGACGAAGGGTGGCACATTTTACAGAATAAGTCAGATGACTTTCTGTGTGAGTATGTTATAGTATTTCTTTCCATTCTGCATCGTTTTTTGCTAAAATACAACAGTTTTAATACATAATACAGCAGTTTGTTGATTGGTATTTTTACTCTCTGTTACTTGAATGTTAAGGAACTACAGTGTTTTAGTACTTACCTAGAAATGCTGTTTTTAGACATTGGTCCTTCATTTATAAAAGATATATACAAAATGTCCCTTAGGTAGAATTGGGTTTCTATCATGTTTATTGATTAAAAGAAAAGCAGGTGCCTGACAATGGCATTTGTAGTGTGTTCGTGACTCATAGTGGCAGATGTGTACAGATACATGGTTTCTGGTTCTTAAAACAGTTGTTACATACAGACAATGGTCCATAACCCAGTGTTCAGATTTTTATGTCTTGTGCAGGTAGCTCTTATATTAGAGGGATTGCTCAAAAAAGGACTGCTATCTTTGGCAAGATTTGTATTTTAAAGTTAATATAAATTCAAAGGGCCCTCTAGAAATGGTTTGCAGAACTACAGTTACACAATAGATTGGTCACCTCTATTTTTGATAGAAAACCTTAATAATACTCCAATTTATATTACATTATGTTTAATGATTCAGTAATTAATTAAAGATTGACCACTGCATACCTAATGCCGGAATAGTTAAACCCTAATGCCCCAAAGCAGTGGTTCTCAAAGTGTGTTCCATGGCCCAGCAGCATCCACATCAGCTGAGAGCTTGTTAGAAATGCAAATTATTGGGCCCAACACAGACCTGCTGAATCTGAAACTGTGAGGCCCTGGTGAAACATACAAAAGTTTGAGAACCATTGCCCTTAGGCATTCATTATTAAATACCATCTACTTGATCAAGCATTTATGATCAGGGCTACCACTACAAAACAAAGTCCCTATTCATAGGAAAGATTTTACATAAGTCACAATGACTTAATTTTAAGTCTGAATTTCTAATAAGAAGTGCAATATGAGGTAATTATCTTTGCCTTCATGAGTGAGAGTCTAGATCCCAACTTCTCATAGACATGAACGCAGCAATCATCCAGTCAATTACAAAGTATATAATGATATATTCCCAATGTGACTATTAATTAATGGAATAGCACAGTACCCTGTCAGATAATTACTAGTGATTCAAAAGTTCAGTGTTACTTTTACTTAAATAAACCTAAAAGAATCATGGCATCTAGAATGACTTCTTTAGATACATTTTGCCTGGTAGATTTCAAATTACTTTGAAATGAGTAGGGGTCAGTTTATGACTTTTAGAAAAACTGATTTAGGATTTTTTTGAGGGGGACAGGGGCAGGGAGTGTTACTATTGCATAGTTCCCTGTAGCACGTATGGGTATTAGAGATGGATTTACTAGTCATTCTCCTTGCCACCTTTAAGATAAAGCCTGTCAGTTTTCTTTGGGTGCCATCTTAGCAGTAGCTCCTTCGCCTTACACCTTGATACCATGCTAGGCACACATGCCTTTGACATCCAGCTATTATCAATTTCATATCCATTTTATGTCATTTGATACATATGTCAGAAGACCCCCAAGTTTTCACCTTATGTGTAGCCACTCTAAAAGCACATAATGCTAAGTTGGATCCTGATTAGAGGCATCAAAATCAAGAGTTTCCTACTCTCCTCCACTCTGACCTTTGTTTTTTAGTAATAGATTATAGCTGTTAAGTACAGGTTTGATTTTTATGGTTTCTTTTGTTTTTTTTTAAATGTATTGTATCTCCCCTTTTGTTGTGTTCACTGTGAGTTTATTGGCTTCAGAGTAAGACTAAGAGCACCTTTATCTCTTATCTTTAGAACAATCATTGGAACACAGTAGGTACCCAATAAGTATTTGCTGAATATTACTTTGCCACCAGTTAAAACAAAACAAAACTCTAATTTTTCCCTAACTTGGCTCTGCTTTGTTCTTTACCCTTCTTCCCCTGCTGTTTAAGTCACTGTTGGCCTGTGAGAAAGATTCACAACCATTTGACTCTTCATTTCCTGAAGAGAATTGTGATGTGAACAACAGCAGAGATTGTTTGTCAAAGATTATTTTATGTTTACAGTCAAACTAGATAAGATGTGCATTTAAGTTCAGAACTTGACCATACAACAATTATGTCCATTTTAATGCATAGCCAGCTAACTTTTTCACGTATTTTCTCTTTACAGTAGGCAACCACGGTTATGATAATGCGTTAGCAGAAATGCATCCAATATTTTTAGCCCATGGTCCTGCCTTCAGAAAGAATTTCTCAAAAGAAGCCATGAACTCCACAGATTTGTACCCACTACTATGCCACCTCCTTAATATCACCGCCATGCCACACAATGGATCATTCTGGAATGTCCAGGATCTGCTCAATTCATCAATACCAAGGGCAGTCCCTTATACACAGAGTACTATACTCCTCCCTGGTAGTGTCAAACCAGCAGAATATGACCAAGAGCAGTCATACCCTTATTTCATAGGGGTCTCTCTTGGCAGCATTATAGTGATTGTATTTTTTATAATTTTCATTAAACATTTAATTCACAGTCAAATACCTGCCTTACAAGATATGCATGGTGAAATAGCTCAACCATTATTACAAGCCTAATGTTACTCTGAAGTGGATTTGCATATTGAAGTGGAGATTTCATAATTATGTCAGTGTTTAAAGGTTTCAAATTCTGGGAAACCAGTTCCAGACATTTGCAGAAACCATTAAGCAGTTACATTTTTAGGTACACACACACACACACACACACACACACACACACAGAGAGAGAGAGAGAGAGAGACCAAAATACTTACACCTGCAAAGGAATAAAGATGTAAGAGTATGTCTCCATTGTTCACTGTAGCAAAGGGACAGATAAGATCCTGCTTTATTTGGACTTGGCACATATAATGTATATATTTAGTAACTTTGTACTATGTAAAGTACCTTATATATTGCACTTTAAATTTCTCTCCAGATGGGTACTTTAATTTGAAATGCACTTTATGGACAGTTATGTCTTATAACTTGATTGAAAATGACAACTTTTTGCGCCCATGTCACAGAATACTTGTTACTCATTGTTCAAACTGAATGAAATTTCTAATAATCCCAAATAATGAATGTAGAAATCTATCTCCATAAATTGAGAGAAGAAGAAAGTGATAAGTATTGAAAATTAAATGTGATAACCTTTGAACCTTGAATTTTGGAGATGTATTCCCAACAGCAGAATGCAACTATGGGCATTTCTTGTCATATTTCTTTCCAAAGAACATGATTTGCATTTATTTTTCCCCAAAAGAGAGTCAAGTACTGACAGATTCATTCTAACTATATTGTTTCTGTCATAAAATTGTGATTTCCTGATGAGTCATATTACTGTGATTTTCATAATAATGAAGACACCATGAATATACATTTTTTCTATATAGTTCAGCAATGGTCTGAATAGAAGTGACCAGGCACCATCTCAGCAATGTTTTCTCTTGTTTGTAATTATTTGCTCCTTTGAAAATTAAATCACTATTAATTACATTAAAAATCAAATTGGATAAAACAATGTTTGTTTTCTTTCTGGTAGCACATGATAACAGCACAAGCATCTTTTAGATTTGAACATTTGAAGATTCAAAGTTGCAAAAGAGCACAAGCCGTATTAGGTAAAATATTGGCCACTCAATCCTTGAAAAGAACTGTGTGGAGCCTGGAAAAAAAAATAGGACCACATGTAAGATGTTTACAAGTCACTCAGAACAGTGGTAAAGTGTGCATACTAGAAAAAGGCAGCAAAATAACTCTTTGTGGTAACAGGTATCAAAACATGGGAGCCGAGATGATATAGCCCTATTTCAAGAAGTATGTGAATACCCACCTACCGGGTGCTCAGTGGAATCAAAGCTGAATCCAAGTTCACAAATAGACTTCTACTTCCAAGGTAGTACTTTTGACCTGCCTGGTCATCTCAGTCTTTTTCATTCCAACAACCTAAGGCTGAGCTTTAGATTTCTAAGTAATCAAGAAGTTTGGGAGAGGCATGGTATTACATGTGGCTTCTTAGAGGAAAGAGGAAGCCCTGAAAAGAAAGGCTTTCTTTGAAGAAAATAGCACTTTACAGACACTTGGATAGTATTGTGATTTCATATATACATATGCACCAACTGGCTAATGAGTAGGTAAAACTGTATAACTATTCCAGAAAGAAAGGACAAATTGGATGTGAAGAACTGAAGTAACATAGTTAAAAATTTAACCAAATTTAAGTGCTTCCTAAAAGTTGGTGAATGTCTTATTTTTTAAAATGATAATACCAGTAAGGAATGTTGGCACATAATTCCCATTTCATTATAAAACCTCTTAATAGAACAGAATCAAATAACTGGAAATGGCCTACGGATTAAAAAGCTAGGAAATTATATGGTAGGTAGCAAACTCCCCAGAAGTATGGACTCTGGATTAGACAGCTCAGAATCCATGAGCACTCATGTTGGCTTGCTTTTTAGCTGTGAACTTACCCTGTATTATTGAAATGTCAGCAAAATGACTGGAAGGTGAAATTGGTCCATTTTAAAGCATTACTATTATGCTGTCTGTCCGTTTAAATTAATAATTGCATTAAATTCATTTTAGAAGGTGCTATTACATTAGTAAGAAAGTAAATTCACATATGAATATTTGATTATCAGATGGTTTATTTACAGATACTTATTTTCCTATAAACTAGGAGAGTTTACCTGAAGGAAAATAAAACTTTAAACTTTTCTGGGAAAATCACATCACTTATCATTGACATCTTTTTGTTGTTGTTTTGTTTTACCTGCATGTCTTCATGGTCAAGCTTTGTATGCAGTGAACTCAAAATTAGTACATGGAAATAAAAGACTAGCTAATCTTACTAATTGTAAGAATTTTAGAAAGGTCAGAGGAATGGAGCTTCTCCTGTGCCCCCTTTTTTTTCAACATCGTCCTGTATCAACCATTTTGTAAAGTTTATTAATCGTCGGGATTTTTTAAAATTCAGTTTGTATTTTACAATTTCTTCTCCATCACCTGCAGTTTAAGTTTAAATTGCTTTTCAAAATGCCCTGTGACCTTGTAAGTATCCTATTATTAGTCTTAGTTTCTTACAAGCACCTATTATTTCTAGAAAATCTAATGAAAGACCCCAGCTCTTCTAGTTCTCACATTTTTTTTGTTTTTCATTAGTAGAAAAACATAACTTGATAATCATAGAGTTGGGAAAGCTCTAAGGGATCATTCAATCCTTGATTTAACAAAAGCTCCTGCAAAGTTGTGAAATTTGCACGACATATTAGTGCCAGAGCTGGAGGAAGGACCCAGGTTCCGTGACTGAGTTTATACTCAAAGTCAAGCTGCCGTCTAGGTTGGTTTACTTCTGGTTCATCCTAAGGTAGCCCCTTGAGATCCTACCCCTAGCAGGAGGTGGTTAACCGATGTTCCCACCCTTGGCAGGCTCTCTAGTCCAACTTTTTACGTTCAGCTACACAAAGCTTATAGATTTCTTCCAGATTGGCCAATGCCCAAGGGCAATGCCCCAGGACAAAATGTCCTGAATGCTACACTCTTTTAGGATTTCAGTCTTCTTTGAATGTCAGCCTGGTAATTCCTCATAACCTTGTGGGCAATTTGATTCTTTTTAAAAGACGTTTTAAAATATATTTTGACTTCTAATCAGGACAGGATAGCGTGGTCCTGCTTTTCCTTGTTCCTCCACACTAAGCATAATTATAGAGCCTGGAAATGGTGCAAGAGACTCTGAAGGTTGGTAATAAGGCTGCGAGCTGATTAGGGAACGTGGGGCTGGAAAAACAGCACAGCGGCAGGACTTCACGTGCTTCCCACCTAACGGAAGGAGGCCACACAGAGCCGGCATTTCTTAACCCCCACCTACCAAGACAGCAGCCCAGGGAGGTTTATTCCTCCCCTGGATCAAAGAATCTCTGGTAACATCAGGGTAACCCGTGTCATCAGCAAGGGGAATTACCATAACCCTCCAACGAGGAATATTGATTGGGAGTCCCATTAAAGGGCAGCCAAGAGGAGCATTATCCTTCCCACCACTGAAACACTCTTCCACTGAGAGACATAGAGGTGGACAAAAAATCTGCAAAAGAGACCAAGCTACAGCAGACAATCTGGGGAACCTCTTTGTTCCCATGGCCTGAGAGTCTCCTGCTCTACCCAGAGACTTTGCAACGGACAAGGCGCACCAATAAAGGAATCCCACTACACCATTCCCCTACCAAGAGATACCTGGCAGCTAGCCCGGGGAAAACCCTTCTGCTTTCCTCAGGCAAGACCAGCAGAGACAAGTGGGAATTCCAGGAGCACCACAATCCAAGCAGACCGTAATCCAATAGCACCCCAAAGGCTGTGAAAATTAAGCTGCCATTGGAATCACAGCCCACAAAAGTAGGACAAGATCTACATGCTAAACCTAAACAGTGTGACTTTCTGCTGAAATAAAAAATGTAAAGAGAACTCATCATCTTATTACGTAATATATAAGATATCCAGGATACAACTGAAAATTACCTGCTATACCTAAAACCAAGAAAATCACAACTACAATGAGAAAAAAACAATTGACACCAGCACCAAAATGATTCATATGTTGGGAAAACTGATAGGACTGAAAGGAAAAACAGATAAATCCCAATTTAATTGGGATTCAACACCCTCCTCTCAATAACTTCTAGAATATCTAGACAGAGAATCAGAAAGAATATAGAAGATCTCTACAACACAATCAACAGGATCTAGTAACATACAGAGAGTACTCGATCAAACAACAGCATAACTGACAAGAATACACAACAGGGTAAACATTTTTCTCAAGCACTCATAAAATACTCACCACCATAGGTACATTCGCCATATCCTGGGTCATAAAACAAACCTCAACAAATTTAAAAGAATTGAAATCATACCAATTGTGTTTTCTGACCACATGGGAGTCAAACTTGAAATCAACAACTGAAAGACAACAGGAAAATCTCTAAACCCATGGAAACTAAACAACACATTTAAAAATAGTCCCTGGGTCAAAAGGAAAGTCTCAAAGGAAAAATTTAAAACTACGTGGAATTTAATGAAAATGAAAACACAATATCTAATATCAAAATATAAGGGATGAATCTAAAGCAGTACTGAGAGGGAAGTTTATAGCACTAACGGCTTACATAAAATGAGGAAAAGTCTTAAATCAACAACCTTAGTTCATACCTCAAGGGACTAGAAAAGAAGAGCAAGTTAAAGAAAGCAAAGGAAGAAAATAGTAAAGATAACTATAGAAACCAGTGAAATTGAAATTAGAAAAACAGTAGAGAAAATTAATAAAAATCTACTACTTTAAAAAAATTAATAATATTGATAAACCTATAGCAAGACTGATAAAAATAAAAACAGCCAAAATCACAATATCAGAAATGAAATAGAGGCTATCCATGCTGATATTAAAAAGGTAATAGAGAACTATTAGGAACAAGTTTACCTCATAAATCAACAACTTAAATTAAAAATGTAATACCATTACATTCACTCCGAAGAAAATAAAATACTTAGATATAAACTTAACAAAATGGGTTCAGGATCCTGAAAATTACCAAATACTGACAAAATAAATCAAAGAAGCCTTCAAATCAAAGAAATTTTCAATAAATAAAGAGACATACCATGTGCAAAAGTTGGAAGACCACATAGTAAAAGGGCCAGCTCCCCAAATGTGCCAACTTGGATGGATCTCCAGGGAATTATGCTGTGTGGAAAAACCAATGCTAAAGAATTACATACTGTAAAATTCCATTTACATACTATTTTTTAAATGACAAAATTTGAAATGGAAGGTGATTATAAAATGGCAACACAAGAGATTCTTATGGTATTGGAACTATTTATTATATTAGCTGTGGTTGCCATAACAAAATACCAAATATGGGGTGGCTTCAACAACAGACATTTATTTCTCACAGTTCCAGGAGGCTGGATAGTCCAAGATTAAGGTTCCAGCAGATTTGTTTCCTGGTGAGGGCTCTCTTATTGGCTTGCAGACAGCTGCCTTCTCTTTGTACCTTTACATGGCCCCATGGGCATTAACTCCCTATATTTCTTGAAAAGTGCATGCACAAGTGCCAAGTGTGATCTCAGAAGCACTCAACGCTTTAGTGTTCAGGCCAGTCATGTCTGAACTGAAGAAAGAGGCTAAGCATTGTCAGGTTGAATCTGTGGGAAGCTAGTCAAAACCAAAACACAACTGGAGCAAGAGTATATTGACTGCATTTGAGGGTATACAAGAGAAGTCTAATACACCCACACAGGTATGGATTCTTGATTTTAACAAAGGTAATTAATTCTGTTTATCTAGTTTTAAATCCTTGTGTCAATACCATACTCTCTTATTACGTTTTTAGAATTATTCTTGACACCAGACAGAGTATGTCCTACCATTTTATTTTTTTCAAAATTGTCTTGGCTCTTCACACTTCTACATAAATTTTAGAGTTGGCTTCCACAGTTCCATAAAAAAAAACAAATAAAACCCTGCTGAAATTGCTTGGATGCAACGATCAATTTGGGAAGAATTGCCATCTTTACAATGTTTAACCTTCCAACCTATAAACATTATATAGCCCTCTGTTTATTTTGGTCTCCCTTAACTCCTTTATAATTTTCTGTGCAAAGATTCTGCATGTATTTCGTTAGACTTATTCCCAAATAGTCCATGCTTATTGATAGCAATGTAAATAATATGAGTTTAAAATTTTCCTTTTCTAATTGTTTTCTGCTAAGATATAGAAATACACTTGATTTTTGTATATTGACCTGATATCTAGCCATTTTTTAAACTCAGAGTTTATCTGTAGATTATTAGATGTCTTGTGTATACTATCATGCATTTGTGAATATGAGTTTCATTTTCCAATACTTATTTCTTTTGTTTCCTTATTGCACTTGCTAGGACCTGTAGTACGATGTTAAATATAAGTGGTGAGAGTGGACATCCTTGCCCTGGTCCTGATCTCAGGAGAGAAACATTTGATATTTCATCATTCAGTATATTAGCTTTGGCTTTGTTTTGTTTTGTTTTTATAGATGTCATTCCTCAGCTGGAGGAAGTTTCCTTCTATTCCAAATTTAATCAGTTTGTTCAACTAATAAATAAGGGTTGAATTTTGCCAAGTGCTTTTGCATGTTCATTGACTTGATAATGTGTTCTTTTTTCTATTAATATACATTGATTGATTTTCAGTGATCAAAACGATTCTGTGCCCTGTAGTGAACTCCACTTATTCATGTGCATTATCCTTTTGAATTACCACTGAATTCAATTAGATAATATTTAGTTAAGTATTTTTGTTCATAAGAATACTGGTCTTTTAATGTATTTTTTTCATGTTTTTGTACCAGTGTTACACTGGCCTTATAACAAGAATGTGTTAGCTGGGCGCGGTGGCTCCAGCCCCTAATCCCAGCACTTTGGCAGGTCGAGGTGGGCGGATCACGAGGTCAAGAGATGGAGACCATCCTGGCCAACATGGTGAAACACCATCTCTACTAAAAATACAAAAATTAGCTGGGCAATGTGGTACGTGCCTGTAGTCCCAGCTACTCAGGAGGCTGAGGCAGGAGAATTGCTTGAACCCGGGAAGTGGAGGTTGCAGTGAGCCAAGATCCGCCACTACACTCCAGCCTGGGCGACAGAGCGAGACTCCATCTTATTCATAAATAAATAAATAAAACGTATTCCTTCTTCT